GCAAACTACAACAACCCCATCCAAGCAGGACTATTTTTTTCCCATTTATTTATTTTATTGCATTTTAGGTTTTGGGGTACATGTGAAGAACATGCAAAATTGTTGCATAGGAACACACGTGGCAGTGTGATTTGCTGCTTCCTCCCCATCACCTACATCTGGCATTTCTCCCCCTGCTATCTCTCCCCAGCTTCCCATCCCCCACCATCCCTCCCCTATTTCCCCCCAACTGACCCCAGTGTGTAGTGCTCCCCTCCCTGTGTCCATGTGTTCTCATTGTTCAACACCCGCCTATGAGTGAGAACATGCGGTGTTTGATCTTCTGCTCTTCTGTCAGTTTGATGAGAATAATGGTTTCCAGGTTCATCCATGTCCCTACAAAGGACCCAAACTCATCATTTTTGATGGCTGCATAATATTCCATGGTGTATATGTGCCACATTTTCTCTATCCAGTATATCGTCGATGGGCATTTGGGTTGGTTCCAGGTCTTTGCTATTGTAAACAGTGCTGCAATGAACATTCGTGTGCACATGTCCTTATAGTAGAACGATTTGTAATCCTTTGGATATATACCCAGTAATGGGATTGCTGGGTCAACTGGTATTTCTATTTCTAGGTCCTTGAGGAATCGCCGCACTGTCTTCCACAATGGTCGAACTAATTTACACTCCCACCAACAGTGTAAAAGTGTTCCTATTTCTCCACATCCTCTCCAGCATCTGTTGTCTCCAGATTTTTTAATGATCGCCATTCTAACTGGCGTGAGATGGTATCTCAATGTAGTTTTGATTTGCATTTCTCTGAAGACCAGTGATGATGAGCATTTTTTCATATGTTTGCAAGCAGGACTATTAATGACCAGACCCTTCAGGAATAAAGGTCTGAGTCACTCCACCAGGTAAAGAGCCATTATCAGCTGAGGTGTTTGCTGAAAGCAAAGGAATACAGAAATGCATCGTAGAAGAAGGCAGTTATAAATACTAACTACAACCTCTACCTCCACAAGGGAGGAAAAGTTCAAAAGGAACAGTTTCATTTGTTTGGAATACTATTATCCTCATTTTCTAAAACAGCAATCTTGGCACTGAACTGTGAGCATGACGAATTCACCAGGATGCACCAAAACTAAAAGAACTGGGCACAGTGGCTCACGCCTGTAATCCCTGCACTTTGTGAGGCTGAGGAGGGCAGATCACTGGAGGTCAGGAGCTCAAGACCAGCCTGGCCAACATGGTGAAACCCCATCTCTACTAACGATACAAAAATGAGTCAAGCATGGTGGGGCACACCTGTAGCCCTAGCTGTTTGGGAGGCTGAGGTTGGAAAATCGCTTGAGTCTGGGAGATGGAGGTTGCAGTGAGCCAAGATCACACAACTGCACTACTCCAGCCTGCGTGACACAGCAAGACTCCATTTCATAAAAACAAACAAAAAACTCCATAGGATACATATTGTTACCTAGTTAAGATCTTAATTATGGTGAAAATCCAACTTTTGATACTGCTAGCATCCATTTATACTTTGAGACTACCTGTATTAATTATTAATATTTTTTGAAGCAAACTTCCAGACAAGTGTAAAATAAATCTTTGTCACCAGGGGGAAAAAGATTATGACTTAGAAATCAAAGATAAGTATTTATTTTCCTAATAAACAGGGAAAAGTAACACACCTCTACACCAATGTCTACAAATGGAGCAACTAACATACTGTTCTCCATTTCAAGTTAGTAACATTTATATAAACTTTCTCTTCCTCCTTTTTGGGGGCAAAGTTCTTGTACTGGAATAAAATACTACAAACACAATTTTCTGTTCCACTGTTTCCAACTAAGAGGGAGGAAAAAAGCAAATCCATTTCAATGCAGTATTCAAGCCAATGATTCTGTGTCTTATCTACTAGACAATATGTTGTAGGCATTCATTTTGGAATGAAGGGCTTTAGAGAAAAATAAGCCCTAAAATGGGCTTAAACATCCTTGGAGTTATCACTTTTAGATTCACACTACTTGTTTCTCATTTTTGGCCTACCACAATCTTCAATAACCATGAAAACACTGACAACAAAATGTCCAAGTTTTAAAGGTACAGAAAATGCCAACCCAAACTTCAGCTAAAGCACACGCATTCAGGAAAGATTGACGAAGGAAAGCTAGCGTGTGTACTGCCACCTGGATGCTTTACTCGGCCTTTTCTTTGAATTGTGCCAGTCATGCAACCCACCGTTCAAGGAAACTACAGTCTCCTCTTAGTAGGTGAGTGACCCTGGGTAAGTTACTCAACCTTTTCTGTGCCTTGGTTTCTTTAATATGGTGCTTTGAAGAGAATTAACTGCATTAATGTACGCAAAGTGCTTACAGCTATGCCGGGCAACTTTTCTTTTCTCTCAACATATCCAAAAGTTGTCACTTCCTTCCCAAAGGGCATATTTTTAAGACTATCCATAAAATGTTTCCTAGGGCAAGCATCCTCCAAAGGGTCTTGTTGAAGGACTATGGAGGACCCCAAGACTTGGTTCATAATCTAGGCTGGACTCAGGGTGCTAGCCCAAAAGGGAAGCTAAGTGTTATGACTAGATTGAAACCCTGGTGCAAGCTATTTTAGGTTTTCACATTCAATTATTTATGTAACCGGTGAACCATGAACTGGCTTCCCCTTTGTACTTTTAAGTATTTCTGGGATGTGTTTATATAGCAGTTAGCTGAAAGTCAGCAGTCAGTTAAAATCTTATAAGCAAATAATCCACAGGTAATGATATTTACTTGAAATAGTAGTGCTTTTTAATATCAAAATAATTTTTTTAGTGTATTTTGGGCTCTTGTGTACATGTGCACATCCTGCATCCTGCAGGATTGTTGCATAGGTATATACATGCCATGGTGGGTTGCTGTCTCCATCCCCCCCGTGCCCCAACCCCACCCCCGTCACATCAGGCATTTCTCCCGGTGTAATCCCTCCCATCCTCCCCACCCTCCCACTTTCCATCCCCTCCCCTCCCCTTCAACCCCACACCTAGTCCAGTAAGTGTTGTTTTCTTCCCTGTGCCCAAGTGTTCTCATTGTTCATCAGCCGCTTATGAGAGAAAACGTGCTGCTTGGTTTTCTGTTCTTGTGTCACTTTGCTGAGTATGATGGTTTTTAGATTCATCCATTCTCTACGAAGGACACAAACTCGTCATTTTTTATGGCTGCATAGTATTCCATGGTGTATATGTGCCACATTTTCTTTGTCCAGTATATCACTGATGGGCATTTGGGTTGGTTCCAGGTCTTTGCTATCGTAAACAGCAATACAACGAACATACATGTGCACGTGTTTTTATAATAGAGTGATTTACAATCCTTTGGGTATATACCCAGTAATGGGATTGCTGGGTCAAATGGAATTTCTATTTCTAGATCCTTGAGGAATCATCACACTGCCTTCCACAATAGTTGAACTAATTTACACTCCCACCAACAATGTAAAAGTGTTCCTTTTTCTCCACATTTTCTCCAGCATCTGTTGTCTCCAGATTTTTTAACGATTGCCATTTGAAATGGCATGAGATGTTATCTCAATGTGGTTTTGATTTGCATTTCTCTAATGACCAGTGATGTTGAGCATTTTTTCACATTTGTTGGCTGCATATATGTCTTCTTTTGAAAAGTGTCTGTTCATATCCTTCACCCACTTTTGAATGGGTTTTTTTCTTGTAAATCTGCTTTAGTTCTTTGTAGATTATGGATATTAGCCCTTTGTCAGATGGGTAGATTGCAAACATTTTTTTCCCATTCTGTTGGTTGCTGGTTCACTCTAATGATTGTTTCTTTTGCTGTGCAGAAGCTTTTAAGTTTATTTAGATTCCATTTGTCTATTTTAGCTTTTGTTGCCATTGCTTTTGGTGTTTAAGCCATGAAGTCCTTGCCTATGCCTATGTCCTTGATGGTGTTGCCTAGGTTTTCTCCTAGGGCTTTTATGGTGTTAGGTCTTATGTTTAAATCTTTAATCCATCTGGAGTTAATTTTAGTGTAAGGTGTCAGGAAGGGGTCCAGTTCCTGCTTTCTGCAAATGGCTAGCCAGTTTTCCCAACGCCATTTATTAAACAGGGAATCCTTTCCTCATTGCTTGTTTTTGTCCGGTGTGTCAAAGATCAGATGGTTGTAGATGTGTGGTGTTGCCTCCAAGGCCTCTGTTCTGTTCCATTGTTCTATCTCTCTGTTTCGGTACCAGTACCATGCTGTTTGATTACTGTAGCCTTGTAGTATAGTTTGAAGTCAGGTGGCGTGATGCCTCCAGCTTTGTTCTTTTTGCTTAGGATTGTCTTGGCTATGCGGGCTGTCTTTTGGTTCCATATGAAGTTTAAAGTGTTTTTTTCCAGTTCTGTGAAGAGGGTCATTGGTAGCTTGATGGGGATAACATTGAATCTATAAATTACTTTGGGCAGTATGGCCATTTTCACAATATTGATTCTTCCTAACCATGAGCATGGAATGTTTTTCCATCTGTTTGTGTCCTCTCTTATTTCCTTGAGCAGTGGTTTGTAGTTCTCCTTGAAGAGGTCCTTTATATCCTTTTTAGTTGTATTCCTAGGTATTTTATTCTCTTTGTAGCAATTGTAAATGGGAGTTTGCTCATGATTTGGCTGTTTGTCTGTTGTTGGTATTAGGAATGCTTATGATTTCTGCACATTGATATTGTATCCTGGGACTTTGCTGAAGTTGCTTATCGGCTTAAGGAGGTTTTGGGCTGAGAGGATGGGGTCTTTTAAATATACAATCATGTCTGCAAATAGGGACAATTTGACTTCTTTTCCTAATTGAATGCCCTTTATTTCTTTTTCTTGCCTAATTACTCTGGCTAGAGCTTCCAATACTATATTGAATAGGAGTGGTGAGAGAGGGCATCCTTGTCTAGTGCCGGTTTTTAAAGGGAATGCTTCTAGTTTTTGCCCATTCAGTATGATATTGGCTGTGGGTTTGTCATAAATAGCTTTTATTATTATTATTATTTCATATATTTTTTTCAGAGTTTATAAAAAAATTTATTTGTTTCTGAGAGCCATGATTTAGAACATTAAAAAAGTCCTCCTGGGAACCTAACTTGGGGGAAATGTGGCGAGAGGGCAGGACTCGGCAGCCCATGGGCATGTCACAAGGTGCGCCCAGGCTCTCTGGAGAGAACTCTGCTCTGACTTCAGGCCAGAGTGTCTCCCCTGGCAGCGCCCTGACAGCTGAGTGGTCGGAGGCCCCCGCTGGGGAGATTCATTTGAAATCTTTCTTCTTCTTCTTCTTCTTCTTTTTCACTGGCGTGTCTTCTGGTGTAGCATCCTCTGCTATCTCTACCGGCTTTTGCAGCTTTTTCTTCCCTCTCCTCTTTTTGGGCTTCAGGGTGAAGTCTAGGCCCTCAGGCGGCTGCTCACAGTCCCCAGCATCCTGAGCAGAGGTCTCGGAACCCTGGTCCCAGCAGGGGCCTCTGAGCTGCTTCCCCGCACTCTTCTTCTTGGCCCCCTGCTCCTGGGCCCTGTCCCCTGTGAGATTTTCCTCCGTATGCCTCTTGGCCTTAAGCTTTGGGGAACTCTTCACATCCTTACCTGCTGACTCTTTGTTTCTTTTCTTCATCTTTTTTCTAACCACCTGAGTCTCGGAAAGGTCAGACCCTGGATCTGGGACCTGGGGCTTGTTCTTCAGTGCTGCCATCTGCTGGGCAAAGTACTCCTGGATGGTGAAGGCACTGGTTGTCGTGCTTTCATTCTCGTCTGGTGTGGAGGAACTGGCATCGCCCTCAGCAGTCTTCTGACTCTGTCTTTTCCCAAAAATGCAGTCAAGATCTGTTTTGCTCCGAGATGATAGATCCTTCCCTTTTGTGAATTTCATATAGTGAACATGGTTTTTGGAGATTTTGGACTTTTCCTCAAGGCTAAAAGATTTCTTTTCCTTCTTGTCTGAGGAGTCTGTGGTTTCCTGCCCATGGCAAGTGTTCAGTTCGGCCAGAAGCTGGTTAAAGTCATCCTGATGTGCAATCCAGTTGTCTTCGTTATTGATGGTGGCTCCGAGTCCCAGGTGGTTATTTTTCACTTGAACTTTAATATGATCTGTGGCTCCTTGCTCCTGAGCCCCTAAACCCTTTCCTTTAGACCACCCCATCTTCTCTAGCATCCTCTGGCCAAACTTGGAATTGTCATTACTCCAGGCAGTGTTCTTTTTTTTTGTTTTGTTTTTTGAGACGGAGTTTCGCTCTCGTTACCCAGGCTGGAGTGCAATGGCACGATCTCGGCTCACCGCAACCTCCGCCTCCTGGGTTCAGGCAATTCTCCTGCCTCAGCCTCCTGAGTAGCTGGGATTACAGGCACGTGCCACCATGCCCAGCTGATTTTTTGTGTTTTTAGTAGAGACGGGGTTTCACCATGTTGACCAGGATGGTCTCGATCTCTTGACCTTGTGATCCACCCGCCTCGGCCTCCCAAAGTGCTGGGATTACAGGCTTGAGCCACCGCGCCCGGCCTTTCCAGGCAGTGTTCTGAGGATCCACAGCCCACTTCTGCTTCCGCCGACGCTCAGCCAGCATCGACATGTCGCAGAGTCTGTGATACCGCGGCCTTTGGACCTGGGTGACTGCGACCACCCGGCGGGCAGGAGGCTCGAGGAGAATCTCAGCTTTTATTATTTTGAGATACATGCCATCAATACCTATTTTATTGAGAGTTTTTAGCATAAAGGGCTGTTGAGTTTTGTCGAAGGCCTTCTCTGCATCTATTGAGATAATCATGTGGTTTTTGTCTTTGGTTCTGTTTATGTGGTGAATTACGTTTACAGACTTGTGTATCTTGAACCAGCCTTGCATCCCCAGGATGAAGCCTACTTGATCGTGGTGGATAAGCTTTTTGATGTGCTGTTGCAATGGGTTTGCCAGTATTTTATTGAGCATTTTTGAGTTGATGTTCATCATGGATATTGGCCTGTAGTTTTCTTTTTTAGTTGTGTCTCTGCCAGGTTTTGGTATCAGGATGATATTGGCCTCATAGAAAAAGTTAGGGAGGATTCCCTCTTTTTGTATTGTTTGGAATAGTTTCAACAGGAATGGTACCAGCTCCTCTTTGTACATCTGGTAGAATTCAGCTGTGACCCCATCTGGACCTGGACTTTTTTTGGTTGGTAGGCTATTAATTGCTGCCTTGACTTCCGACCTTGTTATTGGTCTATTCAGGGTTTCAACTTCTTCCTGGCTTAGTCTTGGGAGTGTGCAAGTGTCCAGGAATTTATCCATTTCTTTCAGATTTACTGCTTTATGTGCATAGATCTGTTTGTAGTAATCTCTGATGGTAGTTTGTATTTCTGTGGAATTGGTGGTGATATCCCCTTCATTGTATTTTATTGCATCTATTTGATTCTTCCCCCTTTTCTTTTTTAATTAATCTGGCTACAGGTCTATTCTGTTGATCTTTTCAAAAAACCAGCTCCTGGATTCATTGATTTTTTGAAGGGTTTTTTGTGTCTCTATTTCCTCCAGATCTGCTTTGATCATAGTTATTTCTTGTCTTCTGCTAGCTTTTGAGTTTTTTTTGATCTTGCTTCTCTAACTCTTTCAATTTTGATGATAGGGTGTCAATTTTAGATCCTTTCTTGTTTCTCATGTGGACATTTATTGCTATAAATTTCCCTCCAGACACTGCCTTAAATGTGTCCCATAGATTCTGGTATGTTGTGTCTTCATTCTCACAGGTTTTGAAGAACATTTTCATTTCTGCCTTTATTTCATTGTTTATCCATTCATCATTCAGGAGCAAGTTGTTCAGTTTCCATGTGATTGTGCAGTTTCGAGTGCTTTTCTTAATCCTGAGTTCTAATTTGATTGCACTGTGGTCTGAGAGACTGCTTGTTATGATTTCTGTTCTTTTGCATTTGCCAAGGAGTGATTTACTTTCAATTATGTGGTCAATTTTAGAGTAAGTGTGATGTGGTGCTGAGAAGAATGTGTTTGGGGTGGAGTGTTCTGTAAATGTCTATTAGGTCTGCTTGGTCCAGATCTGTGTTGAAGTCCTGGATATCCCTGGTGACTTTCTGTCTCATTGATCTGTCCAGTATTGTCAGTGGAGTATTAAAGTCCCCCACTATTATTGTGTGGGAGTCTAAGTCTCTTTGTAGGTCATTAAGAACTTGCTTTATGTATCTGGGTGCTCCTATATTGGGTGTATACATATTTAGGATAGTTAGCTCTTCTTGTTGGATTGATCCTTTTACCATTATGTAATGCCCTTCTTTGTCTCTCTTGTTCTTTGTTGGTTTAATGTCTATTTTATCAGAGACTAGGATTGCTACCCCTGCTTTTTTTTTGTTCTCCATTTGCTTGGCAGATCTTCTTCCATCCCTTTATTTTGAGTCTATGTGAGTGTTTGCACATGTGATGGGTTTCCTGAATACAGCACACCATTCGTTCTTGACTTTTATCCAGCTTACCAGTCTGTGTCTTTTGATTGGGGCATTTAGGCCATTTACGTTCAATGTTAATATTGTTATGTTTGAATTTGATCCTGCCATTTTGTTACTGGCTGGTTGTTTTGCCTGTTAGTTGATGTGGTTTCTTCATTGCGTCATTGTTCTTTACCATTCAGTATGTTTTTGCAGTGGCTGGTACTGGTTGTTCCTTTCCATGTTTAGTACTTCCTTCAGGAGTTCTTGTAAGGCAGGTCTTGTAGTGATGAAATCTCTCAGCAGTTGCTTGTCTGTAAAGGATTCTATTTCTCCTTCACTTATGAAGCTTAGTTTGGCCAGATATGAAATTCTGGGTTGAAAGCTCTTTTCTTTAAGGATGTTGAATATTGGCCCCCACTCCCTTCTAGCTTGTAGGGTTTCTGATGAGAGATCCGCTGTGAGTCTGATGGTCTTTCCTTTGCGGGTAACTCGACCTTTCTGTCTGGCTGCCCTTAAGATTTTTTCCTTCATTTCAACCCTAGTGAATTTGACAGTTATGTGCCTTGGGGTTGCTCTTCTTGAGGAATATCTTTGTGGTGTTCTACGTATTTCCTGGATTTGAATGTTGGCCTGCCTTGTTAGGTTGGGAAAGTTCTCTTGGATAATATCCTGAAGAGTGTTTTCCAGCTTGGATTCATTCTCCCCGTCACATTCAGGTACGCCGATCAAGCATAGATTAGGTCTCTTCACATAATCCCATAGTTCTTGGAGGATTTGTTCATTTCTTTTCACTCTTTTTTCTCTAATCTTGCCTTCTCATTTTATTTCATTGATTTGATCTTCTATCTTTGATATCCTTTCTTCTGCTTGATCGATTTGGCTGCTGAAACTTGTGCATGCCTCATAAAGTTCTTGTGCTGTTTTTCAGCTCCGTCAAGTCATTTATGTTCTTCTCTAAGCTGGTTATTCTAGTTAGCATTTCCTCAAACCCTTTTTCAAGGTTCTTAGTTTCTTTGCATTGGGTTAGAACATGGTCTTTTAACTCAGAGAAGTTTGTTATTATCCACCTTCTGAAGCCGGCTTCTGTCAATTCGTCACACTCATTTTGTCTTGTTTTGTTCCCTTGATGGTGAGAAGGTGTGATCCCTGGGAGGGGAAGACGTTTTCTGGTCTTTGAAGGTTTCATCCTTTCTGCACTGTTTTTTCCCCATCTTCATGGATTTATCTCCCTTTGATCTTTGAATTTGGTGATTTCAGGAGAAATCTCTGAATGGATGTCCTTTCTGTTGCAGTTGGAACTACATCTTTTTTGGCCTGTAGAGGCGCTGCTGGGTTGCCTCGGATTCAGTCAGGTTGCTGGGTGGGTGGTCCTTCCCTGGGGTGAAGGTGAAATTAGACACCCCCTTCCCAGTGGCATCTCTCCTTCCCTGAGCTCGATCTTCCTGGTTGGGGTCAAACTGGTGTACTGGCTGCCAAGCTCTCTGGTGCACGGGCTTCAGTTTGAGTTTTGTTGGGGGTGGGGCCTGCCAGGCCTTATGACCTGTTTCCCTGCTTTCAACTCTGCCTCTTTCTGTGGGACGGGTTGTTCCGTCCCACTGGCACTAGTCCAAATTTCCGCCCAGGTCCGGTGGACAACTTGTGGCAGCAGGCGGAAGCCGTGGCTCAGATTTGCATCCACAACCCACCATGCCCCTCAGTCTGGCAGGGCTCTCGTTGACCGTGGGTTGCAGGAGGGATGAAGTAAGCACGGGATCCGAATTGGAGCACTGAGGGGGTGAAGTCCCCCGACCCTCCAAGCTGGCTGCACGTTCCAGGTGGGGACATGCCCACCCTGTCTTGGTTCATTCTCTCTGGGCGGCTCTCACCCTGCTTTGGCTCCTTCCCTGAGCTACTGTCAGAATCCTCCCAGTCCCCCCAAAACAAACCTGGCACCTCACTTGGAATCATGAAGTCCTCTAGCCCTCTGCATCTCATTTGCTGGGAGCTGCATTCTGGTGTTGCCTCCTCTTGGCCATCTTGGTGCCGCCCCAATTTTTTTTTTTTTTTTTTTTTTTTTTGAGACAGGGTCTCACTCTGTCACCCAGGCTAGAGTGCAATGGCACAATCAGAGCTCATTGTATCCTCTGCCTTCTGGGCTCAGGTGATCCTCCCACTTCAGCCTCCTGAGTAGCTGGGACTACAGGTGTGTGCCATTGTGCCTGGCTAATTTTTGTTTTTTCATTTGTAGATACAGGGTTTTGCTATGTTGCCCAGGCTGGTCTTGAACTCCTGGGCTCCAGCAATCTGCCCGCCTTGGCCTCCCACAGTGTTGGAATTTCAGGTGTGAGCCACTGCACCTGGCCTGACTTTAAAAGCTCTTCATGTGTTTCCCAAAAAGGTTGTATGGTTGGAAAAGTCATCAAAATTAAGGAGACGTGAAGAACCACAGAAAAAGAGAAATTATTTTGCTCAACTTTTTCAAAACAATAACGCTCTTTTTGGTCAGTAGAAATGACTACAATTTTTAGAAATTAAAGGTCCTCTGCATCATCACTAAGTAAACACAGTGAACAACGATTTAGAGATGATCAGTTTGAAGGGGAATTACATTCACTGGCATGGAATGTTGGCATGTTTGGGTGGGCACTATTGTAATCACTGCTGATAAGTCTCAAAAGAGCACTAAAGAACACCTAATTCAGAAACTACAGTGTTAAGACAGGACCTAGAGCTTATCTTTCCAGGATGGGCACAAATCCTTGAGGTCCCTGCTCCTTCCAAGCTCAGAACACCATAATATGATAGAAATAAGGGGTTTCTCTTTTGATTTAATAAAGGGAAATCTTCTGCTCTGCCCCACTTACTGGAAGTATTGTGCTCCACTGGTTTAAGGTGAGGATCAGAGACTCTCGTGAAGTAAGTAACCTAAAGAAGGAGGTGAAGAGTCTCCACAACTGACCATTTAGTTTGTCTAAGTCAAGCCAGGTTAAGTAGCTGGCAGGAAATTGCTTAGCTCAATCCTACTGTTAAACATATTAATGTCCTTATCCATTAAAAAAGAAACACCCCACCACCACCATGTACACCTTGGTAAAAACACATGGCAAACATACTATGTGAGTAACTAAATTAAAATGCAGTTCCACTACTGTAAGTTAGTTGGCTAAACTGGAAATAAATTAG